TTGACCAGGTTGACCAACACAGAGAGATCCACAAAGAGATCAATTAATAGGATTGTAGTAAAATACACCCAGAAAAATCATCTTTACCATTTGAAATTTATAGTTTGGGGCTGGAGAGATGGCTCAGTGGTTAAGAGCATTGCCTGCTCTTCCAAAGGTCCTGAGTTCAACTCCCAGCAACCACATGGTGGCTCACAACCATCTGTATTGAGGTCTGGTGCCCTCTTCTGGCCTGCAGACATACACACCGACAGAATATTGTATACATAATAAATAAATAAAACTTTAAAAAAAATTTATAGTTTGGCAGTTTAGTTCAGTTATAATCTTCACATTGTCAACCAGTCTGTCTAGCAGGTTTTTTTTTTGTTGTGTGCATGTACATGTTCTTGTGTGTGTGTATGTGTGTGTGTGTGTGTGTGTTTGCAAGTTCTCTTCATTGAACCTGGGGTTCACCAATTAGTAAGCCTCAGGAACCCTCCTGCTTCCATCCCCAGCGATGGAATTACAGTGTGCCACTACACCCAGCTTTGACATGGGTACAGGGGATCAAATAGTACGGCAAGCACCGTATTGATGGAGCCATCTTCCAAGTCTTGGGTTTTTGTTTTTGTTTTCTGAGACAGGATTTCTCTGTGTGGCCCTGGATGTCCTGGAACTAGCTCAGTAGACCAAGCTGACCTCGAACTCACAGAGATCCACCTGTTCCTGCCTCCCAAGTGCTGGATTAAGGGCGTGCACCACCACCACCTGGCTTAGCTTTTCATCTCTTAAAGGCTGACTGGCTCAGTGGCAGACTCCGGGAGTCTAACACACCCGTGAGGCCCTTTCCCTCCTGCAAGCCCACACCTTCCCCCATCCTGGCAACCACTAGAGCACTGTTTGTATTATTAGACTCTTTATAAGCTGAGGAGCCAAAGTTCAGGGAGTAATTTGTTCTTGGGAGAACTTGGATTTGGACTCAGATCCCCAGTTACCTTCTGAGTCACTTCATATAGCTTCACCACACAGAGCATCTGTAACACATTTAACCCCCTCCTGTCTTGGACAATGGGCACCGTGTGCTAAGGTCCTCCTCTGTGCCACTCTCACACTTAATCCTCCCAGCAGCCATGTAGGGGGCGGCGTCCAATTCCTAGCTTAGTATCTAGCACAGAAAGGGCATAATAACCCGGCTTCCGTAGATGTCTTTTAACAGTCTAGACAATACCAAATCAGTTTGTTATGCATTTTTAAAGCTATGCTCTACATCTTTGGGAGGATCCTCTCTCTGGGGAAAACCAGCAGAAGCATAGGAGACCAAGCGCCCGCCCAGTCCTCTGCGCCCTGCCCTCCTCCTGCAGGGCCCATCTGCTCTCCTCACCTAGGCCAGCCCCCAGGGCCTTCGTGCGGGACTGACTACCAGCTTCACTGATCTGCAGCCAAAGGCAGAGACAGGCATGCAAGGGAACATGAGACACTGTCCTCGCCCTGCTTCTTTGCTCTGCCGCTCCCCCATCGGGTCCTAAGGAACCCAAGTCAAGCTGGAGCAGAGCTGTCCTTTCCCGCCTCTGTGTCTTTGCACAAGCTGTTCAAGACTAAAGCTCTCCCTCCTACAGTCTTCCTCTCTGACATGCCCACAGTCTGCAGACTGCTTGAATGTCACCTCCACTGCAAAGCCTCCTTCCTCCCCAGGGAAAAGGGGGTGGCAGATGGGGACATGCCAGAATGCATGTCTGGGTGCAGCTGTAAGGTCAAGGGAGACCCAAGTCATTTCCTTTGGAAAAGAAAATTGAGAGAATTACAAACACGGAGCCATAATTTAAACTGTTTAACAGATTAATGCCTCTGATAGCAAAGAAAAACATACGAGGGGCTGGAGAGATGGCTCAGCGGTTAAGAGCATTGCCTGCTCTTCCGAAGGTCCTGAGTTCAATTCCCAGCAACCACATGGTGGCTCACAACCATCTGTAATGAGGTCTGGTGCCCTCTTCTGGACTACAGGCATACATGCAGACAGAATATTGTATACATGATAAAATAAATAAATATTTTTAAAAAAAAAGAAAGGAAAAGAAAAACATACGAGTGATTAAAATATGGGGCTGGAGAGCTGGTTCAGAGATTAAAAGTGCTTGTTCTTTTGGGGAACTGGAGTTTGGTTTCAGGTACCCACATTGGATGGCTCACAATGTCCTGTAATTCCAGCTCCAGGGGAACTGACTCCTGGCTTTCTCAGGGTTCTCAGGGCATTGCCACAGGTATGCACGCGTGTGCACGCACGCAAGCACACAAACACACACACACGGGGTGGGGAGTTAATAAAATGAATCTTTAGAAAAAAATGTTTATTAAAAATAACCATTTCCAGAGCCCCCTAGGAACACTGATCCAGTCGCAAATGCTTATATTTTATTTTATTTTTTTTTCAAAATATTTATTTATTTACTTTGTATACAATATTCTGTCTGTGTGTATGCCTGCAGGCCAGAAGAGGGCACCAGACCCCGTTACAGATGGTTGTGAGCCACCATGTGGTTGCTGGGAATTGAACTCAGGACCTTTGGAAGAGCAGGCAATGCTCTTAGCCTCTGAGCCACCTCTCCAGCCCAAATGCTTATATTTTAAACATATGCAAGGAAGGTCCTCATTTCCCACCGCCAAGCCGCACTGAAGCCTCCACACAGAAGATGCTCCTCATTTGCTGAATGATGGGGACAGACAGGATTTCCCAATTCACTCAAGAAAACCCAAAACAGTATTTCTGAATAACACTGAACAATAGGGCAGGAAGCAGCCTTCTCCTCCCGGGACACTCCTCACTCCCCCTCCATGCCCCAACCCTCGAGTCAAGCTGCAAGCTGCAACAGGAAGACCTTTAGCCACTGTCCTTCCTGCCCGCTCCCCCAGGTGCTTCCCACCCTGCTCCTACCTCCTCTCTACTCCCGGAGGCTGACAACTGGGCACACAGAACCATTCTGCCCCCAGGGAATAAAAAGAATAGTAAGAGGGACAAAAGAGGATTTAAAGCTCGGCAGCAAGGGGACAAAAGGCCTCAGTGTTTACAAAGGATCTGCCAGAAGAGACCAGAAAGGGGAGCTCCTTTTGCGTGGGGCTGGGCCCTCTTCTCACCTTAGAGACCTGCTCATGAGCAGCACAGGCCTCCTCTGTGTTTCTAGGAGTTTGATTATTGACCCCTGACTCAGTTTTCTCTGAGCGAGGCCTCAACTTTCTGGGCTGCTGGCAATCCCAAATACTAGGCTCGAATACATATTCATACCATGAACTTGAACCCACCCACTGGCCCAACTTCCAGTTCCTTCTGCATTTCCAGCAGAAAAAATAGTGTAAGGATAAGGCCACCCCAGAGTTGCTGTGATTTTCCAGCCCTTCAGGCCATTGAATATACCCACAGACCTTTCTGTAAGTTTCTCCTGCTACCAAAGGTAGGAGCCATCCAAACACCTGTGGTCTGATGGTTCATTCTGTACAGGTGTGCTTTAAATCCCTTCTCAGCTTCCTTAGCTACAATTCCAACTGTACAGAAAAGGGAGATGACAGGGCTGGAGAGTTAGCTCAGTGGCTAAAAGTGTATACTGCTCAGAGCGGCAGTGGTGGCGCAGACCTTTAATTCCAGCACTTGGAAGGCAGAGGCAGGTGGATCTCTGTGAGTTTGAGACCAGCCTGGTCCACAAAATGAGTTTCAGGACAGCCACGGCTACTCAGAGAAACCCTGTCTCAAAACAACAGCCACAATAAGTGCTCTGGTAGAGGCTCCAAATTTGCTTTCCAGTGCTCTCCCCCATAGAGTGGCTCACAATCACTTGTAATTCCAGCAGGGGATTGGACACCCTCTTCTGGCTTCCTCAGGCACCTGTACTCACTCATATGTGCATAAACACCCCCCAAACGCAAATACAAATCATTAAAAATAAAACAGATTTTAAAAGAGGAAATGGGCCTGGAGAGATTTTCCTGAAGAATACACAGCCTAGGTCCTGAATTTGCACTGTCTGACCTTTACAGCCACACTCTTCTGACTCTTGTAAATTCTTCAGGATTCTAATTTACATGGTGGCTGGATCAATTTTACAGTAGGTAGAAGGAATAATTCTGTGTGGCACCGACACATTTTTGCGTCCCAGCTTTGGGAGTGAAGGAACAGCACAGGTAGAAAAGCTGCATTATGGCTGGCAGGGGTCCTGCTAGCTCATTTGTAGATCCTTGAGTCATACAGCCATAAATAGCTGGGCACTGGGAACAGGACACTAATAAAAGCATGACTGGGAATCATATTTGAAAAAAAAATTTTTTTTAAGTTCTTCAGTGCGTGGATGTATCTGCAAAACAAAAGAAAAGCCCTTTTTCCCAGCCCAGGCAGAGAAGTCTCCTGTTCAGTCAGAGACAACAGGCTTCTGGGCATCAAGCCAAGGTTCTTGGGATATTTATAACTTGAAGAGGGTGGGAGTCCCTAATAAGCTGCTATATTCTTTTTCCATCACTTCCCTCTCCAAGGCTACAGCAAGCTGGAAGCTCTTCCCCACGCAGAATGCCTGCTTTGCCTAGCCCTCGTCTTCCATTGTCTAATTCCTTCATCCCGGCTGGGGAAAGGGAAGGCTCCAAGTCCTACTGTTTGGAGGACTCTTACTGAATGTAGCTTAGCTGCTGTTGGTGTTTATTGGTCAGCTGTTGTGGCCTCAGGGATCTGTTTATGAGCTTGAGGTTTTCTCGGAGCAATAGAACAGTCTGAGGTCTCTGCAAATCTTGAAGCTTTGGGCTCAATCCTACTATCAAACTCTGGCCTTTGCCTGTTCATCTATGGATTCGGATTTCTACCCGTGGCTCTGAGATCTCCGGAATCTGCTGGTGATCTCTAGAATCTTTTCAAACGTCAGGGCTCGTTATAACTCTGAGGCTTGAGGATCTCAGGCCTCTCGAAGATCTTGGAACCAGTGATCCACTGGGTCTTTCACAGACCAGGAGGTAAGCCTGTTCATTCTGCCCTAACCCGGGTTTGTGGTTTCTTTGAAACAGAGAATGCTAACATCCTTAGGACCCTTTCAGGTTCAATCATCACAGGTCCTGGGTCTCCATGGTGTTGGGAAGTCATCAAGAATCTTTCAGCAGAGAGATCGTCAATCGTGCAAGTTTCTTGAGGCTCCATTCTGAGACCAGCTATCTCCCTACACACCCTAGCTCCTTACCCGCTTCTGATTTCAGTGTTCTGGCGTTTTAGATAAAAAGTGCACTTGGGTCGGGTCTCTATAAAACAGCGCGAGAAGCTCCCTACAGGGTTAACAGGATACTGGATCCTGGCTGCAGATTGCACTCCCACACAGGGCATGCAGCACGACGCCTTCTGGAAAATGTAGTCTGCAGGCAGGTTGCGAATACCGCAAGTTCTTTTGGGAGTTGTAGTTCTCAGACGCGGAGAGCAAGCGCTGCAGGCGGCACTGGGAGGTGTTGCGAGTACGTGGGCGGGGCCCAAAGTTCCACCGCGGGCTGGGAGTCTCCCGAAGGAGGGAACTGGAGCTTTTTCCCGCTCTGGCCTGGGCTGTCAAAAGAGGGTTGATCCCAGCTGAGTTCAGCCCAGGTCGCCACACTCGCGGATAATATCTGACTCAAAGACGGTCGTAGGGCCCTGAGAAAAAAACAGGGAAGCCTCCTTTACTGAGTTGTGCTGTGGTCTCCGAGAAGAAAGTGGAGGGTACTCCGTCTGGTCCTGAAGGACGTTGCCCTGTCTCCTCCCTTTTGTTCTTTATCCACCCCAGCTCTTGGCCTCTAAGTGGCCTTTGTACGCCAGAGTGGAACTCCAAGTCCCGGCAGGCCGCGAGGTGCGCGCACGCGTGGTGGAGATGCTCGGCCACGCGGCAGGAGGAGGGTTGATGATTTGGCATCTGATTGGCCTCGTGTTTGATGAGTTTTTTTTTCTGATTGGCTGAGGTTGCTGCCGGAAAGGCCCTTGCCCGGAGATGGAAGAGCAGAGGCGTTCTGTAGGGCTGGGTTGAAAGCCTCGGTCTAATAGCATCGCCCTGACCCCCAGTCCGGGGGAGCATCTAGCCAGGGGCTGTCCTCCCTTACTCTAGCCTTGCATGTACTTGGTATTAACCGAGACCCAGAGAGCGGGTCACGCTCGGGGGTCAGAGAGGAGGAGAGTGACCGGTCCTGGGCCGTCCCTGCATACCCTGCGACCAGAACTCCAGCCCTAGGGAGTGGGCAGGGCCTCTAGCCGCGCCTCGCTCGCTGCTTTTCATCTCCTTCAGCGTTGTCTACTAGCTACTATTCCTGCTCTCTCTCCCAGGAGACGAACGCTTGAGCCTGAGATGGCAGCCACCCTGCTCATGGCTGGGTCCCAGGTAAGCCGGGGGTGGCTTCCCGGACCTCGCCTCTGCTTACCCATCTCGCCCGGTGTTTCCCCGTTCTGCAAACCCTATAGGAAATTCCCTGGGGGTAACTCATTTCGCTATTTTGCTGCAGGGGCTTAGTGCTGGCTAATTTAGCCATATACAAGCACATATCGAGCATCTACTGTATGCCTTTAACTACTGAGAAGAATAAAACCGAACAAGATGGGTGATACCCTCCTTGCCAACCAATATCTGTAGGGAGAGAGGTGCATTCGATTAACCTTGATACAATATGATAAGTCCTCCGCCGTAGCAAGAAAGTGCTGTGGAGTGGGAACAGCAGAATCGTGGCGTGATTAACTCTGCGGTATCCGAGGAAGGAGTGAAAAGCAAATGCGGGGGGGGGAACAGGAAAAACAACAGTTGGCGCTAGAACTGGACCATAAAGAAGAGAATGTCACTGGTCTTAGAAAAGGAGAACATTGCATGTAGAGGTCTGGAGCCATGTAAGTTCTAGGTCTGAAGAGGATGTGTCCCAAAGTGGGCAGGGATATCTGGTAGATTGCCTGAGGAGGCAGCTAGTAGATCGCCCTGCCTTTTGATCACATGTCTTTTTTCTTTCTTTCTTATTTCTTCTTTGCACTCTACAGATCAGACTTAATGCCAATGCCTTCTCGACATGTCTAACCATGTCTCTAATTTCAAGAAGAAAGGCTGGGACTAAACTCCTAGATACTAAGTAGTGAGGAAGCATTGTGTGATTTCAGGCCCCTGTGACATTTGAAGATATGGCCATGTACCTCACTCGGGAAGAATGGAGACCTCTGGATCCTACACAGAGAGACCTTTACAGGGACGTGATGCAGGAGAATTACGGAAATGTTGTGTCACTGGGTGAGTGGGCATTTTTACCTTTTTCCGTCTCCTGTTTTGAACCTGTCAAAATGACTTAGGTCTTTCAGTGCAGACTTGTTTGTTTGCTTTTAAGGGAAAACAGACGATTAGTGATGCAAAACTTTAAATGTGGGATGGTCTGTGTTATATGGTCGGGAAAAAATGGTTTCTGGAGTTTTAGAGACTTTGAGGATCCTCATACCATGAGTCATCTGCCATCCGGCAGCCTGTTTGTACAGATCGCTGACCAAACAGGTCTGGCGCTGTGGTGCCTGCCAGGACATAAAGGCCCTGTAAGTGATGCTTTTTCTCTAGGGCGCTAGAAGATGAGGGCTCCTAAGCAGGTTCACAGAAGGGCAGAAGCCACCCCTTTTGTGTTTGTTTTGGCTCCATGGCTGCAGTTTTGCCTTAGGTACTTTATCTAGGTAGGTTCTTGTCTGGAGCAGTTTCAAAGGTGCTCATCCTTGAAGTGTGCCATGTTGTTTCAGAGGAATCCTTGCACGGTTAGATCCCAAATCCTATTGAGAGGAGAACTCATGAGGCTGGGGGCTGCCGCACAGTGGGTAGGGTGCTTAGCATACTTGAAGCCCTGGGTTTGATTCTCAGCAGTGCATAAAGCCAGGCACAGGACTAAGATATTTTAAAATGTTTTTATCCTCAGAACAAAAGGTAACCTGAGGGGTTTTCTTAGCTTGGACTTTCTCTGATGTCTCAATTTCTTTGGCTTCTTCTATTGTGTGAATTTTTTAGTCTTTTGGCTCTTTGAGAGGCTCACCACCCAGCTCCCAAATAAATCACACAGAGGCTTATTATTATTTATGAATACCGGTCTTAGCTTGTCTTCTTTCTTGCCAGCTTTTCTTAACTTATATATTTTTATCTATCTATCTGTCTGTCTGTCTGTCAGCATTCTCCCTGCATGTATGTTTGCCTGCCAGGAGAGGGCACCAAATCTCAGTATAGAGGGTTGTGAGCCATCATGTGGTTGCTGGGAATTGAACTGAGGACTTCTGGAAGAACATTTAGTGTTCTTGACCTTTAAGCTATCTCTCCAGCCTCTTCTTTTTTTAAATATATATTTTATTTATTTATTATGTGTACAATATTCTGTCTGTATGTATGCCTTCAGGCCAGAAGAGAGCACCAGACCTCATTACAGATGGTTGTGAGCCACCATGTGGTTGCTGGGAATTGAACTCAGGACCTTTGGAAGAGCAGGCAATGCTCTTAACCTCTGAGCCATCTCTCCAGCCCCCTCTAGCCTCTTCTTAACTTGTATTATCCTGACTACTTTTTGCCTCTGGACTTTTATCTTTCTCTATTTCTGTATACCGTTCTTTCCTTCTTATTCTGTGACTGGCTGAGTGGCTGGCCCCAATGGCCTCCTCTCAGATTTCTCCTTCTATTTATACTCTGCCCCTCCTAGCCTTGCTCCTGTCTCGCTATTGGCCGTTCATTTCTTTATTAGGATCACCAGGTGTTTCAGACAGGCAGACAGGCACAGTAACAGTTTCACAGATAAACAGATGCAGCATAAACAAAAGTCATATACCTGAAAATAATATTCCCCAACATTCTTTGTAACAGGAAGGCTGCTTGTTTGTCCTGGCTGCCCAGAACCGAAATAATCACACAGAAACTGTATTCATTAAATCACTGCTTGATCCATTAGCTCTAGCATTTTATTGGATAACTGTTACATCTCAATTTAACCCATTTCTAGTAATCTGTATATCTCCACGTGGCAGTGGCTTACTGGCAAAGATTCTAACCGGTGTCTACCTTAGTTGGAGGATCCATGGCTTCTCCCTCCCAGAATTTAATTCCTTCTTCCCCACCTACCTAAGTTCTGCCCTATCAACAGTCCAAGGCAGTTTCTTTTTTGTTGTTGTTGTTTTGGTTTTTTTTTTTTATTTTTTTTTCAAAACAGGGTTTCTCTGTAGCCTTGGAGGTTGTCCTAGAACTAGCTCTTGTAGACCAGGCTGGCCTTGAGCTCACAGAGATCCCCATGCCTCTGCTTCCTGAGTGCCTGGCTTGGATTTCTTTTCTGTTTGTTTGCTTGCTTCTTGTGTATGTGTGTGTGAATGTGTGTGTGTGTGAGAGAGAGAGAGAGAGAGAGCGAGAGAGAGAGAGCGAGAGAGAGAGATGGGATATACATGTGTGTGCACATGAGTGTGCTGATGACATTTACCTGTGTATAAGCCATAGGCCCACTTCCAGTATTTTATCTGTTTCCACCTCATTTTTGAAACAAAGTCTCTCTTCTAATTGAACCTTGAGCTAGCTCTTTGGTGCAACTGGCTGACTAGCAGGGCCCCAGGATCCACTAGATTTCATCCTCTTGAGTACTGGGGTTAATGGTATGCCCAGCCTTTATGTGTATATGTGATGTCCCAACCCAGATTCTAATGTTTGTACAATAAATATTTTATCCACTGAGTCATCTTTCCAACCTCCCTTTAGGTTTTGGATTTTTTGTTTGTTTGTTTTTGTTTTGTTTTTGTGACTAGTTACCAAATTTATTTATTCATAAGCCCTTTTTAATCAACATAACTACTTACAGGTTTCTGGTGTGTACTAAGAAACCCAATATGGAAAATGGAGGGTCTGATAGAAGTTCCTTATGAGCTGGTTGTATATTTATTTTCACACTTGAAATATATGAAATATTGAAGTATATGCAATATACGTAGTTCTAAAGCTGGTCTGAGTTGGTTCTGATGTGTGGTTTAGTGCTATAGCACATGCTTAGCATACATAGAATGTCAGATTTGTTCCCCAACAGTCCTCTGCAAACGAGGAGCTGCTCTGTGCAGCCTTTTATATACTCTGACTTTAAGTAACATCTGAAAATCACTTTTTCTGTCAAATAAGAGATGAAGACATGAAGCTGGAGAAATGGCTCAGAGGTAAAGAGTGCTGCTGCCCTTCCAAAGCAACCACATGGCAGCTCACAACCATCTATAATGAGATCTGGTGCCCTCTTCTGACCTGCAGGCAGAACACTGTGTACATAATATCTCTTTTAAAAATACAGGAGCTGCTTCTGTGGGGTGCACCAGTGTTCACTGCACTGGGTAGGTAGAGTCAACAGGAAGAAATATTCGGTGTCACCTGACATAGTGAGTTAGACCCTGTCACAAACAAATGTTCCTGATAGAGATAGTTAAAAAAATAACTTCATAGGGGGCTGGAGAGATGGCTCAGAGGTTAAGAGCACTGGCGGCTCTTCCAGAGGCTCTGTTTTCAATTCCCAGCACCCACATGGTGGCTCACAACCATCTGTAATGAAATCTGGTGCCCACTTCTGCCATGCAGGCATACACAAGACACTGTATAAATAATAAATAATTTTTAAAAAATCTGGTAGCTTCTGAGTAAATATAATAATTAAGAAGGCTTGACAAGTTAAAATAACACATGCTCCAAGATTTTTCTAGAGTCTTTTAGATACCCTAATTTAAGGTTTCTTGTTTTTTTTATTCTGATTGTTCCCTTTTTCAAAAAAAGGGGGGGTGATAGATAGTTTCTTTTTTTTTTCTTCTTTCTTCTTTTTTTTTTTTTTTTTGGTTTTTTGCTTTTTTGATTTTGTTTTTGTTTTTCAAGACAGGGTTTCTCTGTAGTTTTGGAGCCTGTCCTGGAACTAGCTCTTGTAGGCCAGACTGACCTTGAACTCAAAGAAGCGTCTGGTTCCCCGAGCATAGATAATTTCTTAAATAACAATTAACTAAAGAGCCTGAACTTAGCAGAAGACTTGAGTTGAACATTTAGATTTTGTTTTTATTGTTTAAGTACATGTATATGAGAGTGTGGGTTTGTGTATATGAGTATAGTGCCCACAGAAGCCAGAATGCATTGCATCCCTAGAGCTGGAATTCGTGATTGGGAGCTGCCCAGTGTGGGTACTGGCAACCAAACCCAGGTCCTCTGTAAGAGCAGTATCGTCTCTCCAGCCCCTACTGTGTCTCCCATTACCTGGGAAAGCCACTTGACCTCTCTGAGTCATGGATCTCTCCTTCACGGAGATGGACTTTCATGATAAATGTGAGCATTCACAGTTAAGAACTTGGTGTGTTGCCGAAGCCATTTGGCTCAGTCCACCCTCCCCTGTGGATAATGTACGGACTTCCCACTTTTGCATTCTCGCCTGATGCTGAAATAGACTGAAGCTGGGCGGTGGTGGCGCACGCCTTTAATCCCAGCACTGGGGAGGCAGAGGCAGATAGATCTCTGTGAGTTTGAGGCCAGCCTGGTCTACAAGAGCTAGTTCCAGGACAGGTTTCAAAGCTACAGAGAAACCCTGTCTCGAAAAAAAGAAAAAACAAAGAAAGAAAGAAACTAAGAAGAAAAGTAAAAGAAAGAGGACCTGGTACTGGAGCTGGGCATGGTGTAGCTGAGTGGTAGAGCACTTAAATGCGAGCCCAAAATCCTGGGTTTACTGTCCAGCGCCGAAAATAGAGGAATAAACAGAACCCCTTGGTTTAGTGCCAGGAACACAGTAAGAATGTTTATGCCCTGACCGTCTCTGCATTATTTACTCCTTACAGACTTTGAGATCAGGAGCGAGAACGAAACAAACCCGAAAGAAGAGCTTAGTGAAGATGTGGAGTTTGTGACCATGTCCGAAGAGCCTATGGGGGATGCTGAGAAGAACCCGGAAAGCGAAGAGGCCTTTGAAAGTGGGGACAGGTCTGAAAGACAGTGGGAAGAGCTGACCGCAGAAGAGTGGGTCAGCTACCCTCTCCAGCAAGTCACTGACCTGCTGGCCCACAAAGAAGTCCACACAGGCATCCGCTATCACATATGTTCTCAGTGTGGGAAGGCCTTCAGTCAGATTTCAGACCTCAATCGACACCAAAAAACGCACACGGGAGACAGACCCTACAAGTGTTATGAATGCGGCAAGGGCTTCAGCCGCAGCTCCCACCTCATCCAGCATCAGAGAACACACACGGGCGAGCGACCCTACGACTGCAACGAGTGCGGGAAAAGCTTTGGAAGGAGCTCTCACCTCATTCAGCACCAGACAATCCACACCGGGGAGAAGCCCCACAAGTGTACCGAGTGTGGGAAGAGCTTCTGCCGGCTCTCCCACCTCATCCAGCACCAGCGGACCCACAGTGGGGAGAAGCCCTACGAGTGCGAGGAATGCGGGAAAAGCTTCAGTCGGAGCTCGCACCTGGCTCAGCACCAGAGGACGCACACGGGCGAGAAGCCTTACGAGTGTAACGAGTGCGGCCGGGGCTTCAGCGAGCGCTCCGACCTCATCAAGCACTACCGAGTGCACACGGGCGAGAGGCCCTACAAGTGTGAGGAGTGCGGGAAGAACTTCAGTCAGAACTCGGACCTGGTGCGGCACCGCAGGGCCCACACCGGGGAAAAGCCATACCACTGTAACGAGTGCGGGGAGAACTTCAGCCGCATCTCGCACTTGGTTCAGCACCAGCGGACGCACACGGGGGAGAAGCCCTACGAGTGCACGGCCTGTGGGAAAAGCTTCAGTCGCAGCTCCCATCTGATCACACACCAGAAAATTCACACCGGGGAGAAGCCCTACGAGTGTAACGAGTGCTGGCGAAGCTTCGGGGAGAGGTCAGATCTGATTAAGCACCAGAGGACTCACACGGGAGAAAAGCCCTACGAGTGTGTGCAGTGTGGAAAGGGGTTTACGCAAAGCTCCAACCTCATCACCCATCAAAGAGTTCACACGGGAGAGAAGCCTTACGAATGTACCGAGTGTGACAAGAGTTTCAGCCGGAGCTCAGCTCTTATTAAACACAAGAGAGTCCATACCGACTAAGTCCTGTATTCCTGAGTAAGAAATGACTCGTGGAGGTACAGTTATATTTGATTTGATATCAGTGAGCTTCCTTAAGACTGACTTTCCTTATTGTGAGCCACAGTTTAAAACGTGGAAGAATACAACCCCTTTGAAATTCCGACCACAGCTTTGGGGATGTTTCCCCCTTCTCCAAGATAGATATTTTTCTTCACATGAATCGCTTCATCAAAAGCAGCCCCCATCCCTAGTAACTTGAAAGCTGAAGACCAGAGGACAAGATGCTGGTGGATGCTTAGGCCTGGAAATGGAGTAGATTTTTAAAAAGTTTTTTTTTTTTCCTCTCGTATCTTTGGCCCCAAAAGACTGCAGTGGGAATGTAGAACTGGACTAGGGTGGCCACAGCTGCTCTGGCAGAAGGCAGGCACACTCGGGCTCATGCACCTCCCTTCCAAAGGGCTTTTTCCTCGAGTAGCTCATACTGGTACCTTGCCATCTTGCGCACAGGATTCTGCACGCTGAAGGCAGTGACTGAATCATTTCTCCTCGTTTCTCACTTGTGTATAGCTTGCATGCTTTTGAAAGCTACCCGAAGATACAGTGTGAAAGAAGGGTACAAGTTTGAGGACCAAGGGCCCTTGGATGGTGGTGACCTTAGCAAGAGATACCCAATGATGCTGTCATTAATCAGGTTTATGAATTGTCTTCGGAAATCACTTTAGAGATCATAGTGCAGAAACTGCCTTTAGGAAAGGATGGGACTGCGAGTGACGATGGAATGGAGTAGGAAGTGAGCTGACTCCTTCAGGGAAGGGAGCACAGAGCCCTTCCCAGGGAGCGTCAGTCATTTCTGTGTTCTTTGCCATCTAACTTTTAACAGTTAGGTTACTTGCCCTTGTAAGGCTAACTCTAGGGTGTGATAGGGCCACATCCCAGTCATTATCTTAGCTTGCATAAAGGCATGTATGTGTATGTACAGTGACATGTGTATTCTAATAGCGGAAACCGAATTCCTAAGAATCAGCATGTTCTTACGTGATGTAGCTCATAAGATAGAACTGTAGGCATACTCCATGTGAGAGATGTCCTTTATTTTTCTTCTGTTATGGAAAAGAATTTGAACACTAGTGCACGAGCGTGCACTCTCCTGTCAGGCTTGGTTTTGTACAGAACTAAACTCTTACTTGTATGTCCATCAGTTGTGAGAGAATGACTGGACAGTTAGGTCCTTTGCCCTTTCTCAGACTGAGTTATCTTCTCCTGTGATGAAACCTCTTTGGCCTCATCAGAAGAAATGAATAAACCTAAAGAGGAGTGTGTTTCCCGCCTCCAGATACAAAGAGTTACAGTGAGCGTTGCCCCAGTGTCTCCCAGTACCTCAGTTCTCTTTGTCTCAGCCCAGGTAGGAATTATGAGCTAGCCCGGATATTGGTGCTTATTCCATCCCGTGGGGATGGAAGGGGATGGGGCCCAGTGCATTTTTATGGTGCTTAGTGCAAACTTGCAAATGTTAACTTTTTTGTTTTGTTTTGTTTTGTTTTTTGAGAAATCTTTTATTTTGCTGGAGTGGGGATCAGGGGTGGTGTACATACCTTTAATCCCAGCACTTGGGAGGCAGAGACTGGCAGATCTCTGTGAGTTCAAGGCCAGCCTGGTTTTGAGTTCCAGGACAGCCAGGGCTACATGGAGAGTCCCTGTCTTGAAAAAAACAAAACAAAACAAAACTTTTTTGTTGAAGTTCTTTGGGATTTGGCATTTAGTGCTTTCGCTACAGAGAGTCACTGTGAGCGCAGCCGGGTGATACCATGTCACTCACTAGTGACAACCTCAAAAGCAACCCGAATGAAAACCACTCCGAGGGCCTTTAAGTGGCCCCTCCCATTTGAGTACGAACTTGGGGCAGGGCACACGGTTTCTATTCTGTATGAAATCTAGCCTGCCGTGGATATTCGCATTTTAACCGTTAGGTGACTTATGTATTCTTGGTAACTAAACTCAGACACGGCATCTGTATGTAGCCAGTGACTTGAGTGGATCTCAGCATTCTCCCGTTGCGCCTTTGAGTCACTCTAAGTGACTGCTTGGGAGCAACTTGTAGAAGACAGCACCTCCGATCCAACCTCATTTTACCCTTTTCCTTACCCGTCCCCATCCCCCAGCCCTGCAACCCCACCTCCAGCCTTTGTTTAAAGTTTTGCTAGTGTGCCACTTGCTGCTTTTGCCTTCTAGATGAAAGGCTCAGGGAAGGACTCTGATTGCCTTCCCATCCCTCCGTACCTGTCTGCGCCAGCCGAGTGCCCTCCCTCCTGCGGTCATCTGCTGCCCACCCCCAGTGCTGAACTCTGGAAGTCGTGTGTCTGCCACACTTCACTAATGCTGTTTGCAGGCCCCTGGCTGTTTGTGCACACACCCAGACACTCTGGGCCTGTGTTCTGTGGTTGTGGAGTCCCTGGCTGTTTGTGCACACACCCAGACACTCTGGGCCTGTGTTCTGTGCTTGTGGAGAATGGATGAACAAGCAAATCTGTAGAGCAGATCCCCTTGGTATTGGTCAATTATCCTAGTGTCTTGTCTATGGCTGTATTATCCTAACAATATTCTATAATTAAAGGCATAATTTTTAAAGTCAAAACAACTGAGTTATTTTGGTAATCTCAAACAGGTTGCTATCAGAGCCTCTCATCAGGTTTATTAAAATTGGGCATGATCATCTTTACATTTGTGCTTTGTGCATAGATGTACAGATATTTTACATAGACTTTCCTATAGGAATTGAGGATATGGTCAGTGTCTTGAGCTCTTTGAATATGCCACATCTCAAATGGTCGGTATAAAAGTCTAAATAGTTTCCTAAGATGTCCATGCCAGTGGCAAAAGCAAGGTAGTATTGGGTATGAGTATCTCAGTAGCTTTGCAGGAAAAAGGAAAACATGTCCAAAAGGAAAAGTTAAGGTCTGAACTTTTTAAAAAGCATTTCTAGAGGCTGGAGAGATGGCTCAGTTGTTAAGAGCACTGGCTGCTCTTCCAGAGGTCCTGAGTTCAGTTCCCAGCAACCACATGGTGGCTCACAACCATCTGTAGTGGGATCAGTTGCCCTCTTCTGGCATAAAGACGTACATGCAGATAGAGCACTCAGATACTCAAATGGATGAATAAACAAACAAATCTGAGAGAGAGAGAGAGTTAGTTAGTTTCTGGAAACATTACCAAGAGCCAACACCAGGCACAGTGGCGCATTCCTGTTACCCCAGTGCTCAGAAGGCAGAGCCAGGTGGATCTCTGAATTTGAGGCCAGCCTGATCTACATATAGCAAGACCCTGTCTCCACACAAAACAAAAACAACTAAAATAGCTAGTAAGATGGCTCAGTGGGTAAAGGTGCTTTCAGTAGAAGCCTAATGACCTGAGTTTGGTAGGAAGCGAGAACTAACTCCCGGTAGTTGTCCTCTGACGGACCACTGTGTGATTGGCTTGTGCTTCCCCTACCCCAAACAGGTTATTAAACAAAAAGTAGCAAAACAATCAGGCCCGTCTCTTAGGAACAGTCAGATCTTGTGATTCAAGATGAGCAGGGGTGGGGCTGGAGAGATGGCTCAGAGGTTAAGAGCACTGCCTGCTCTTCCAGAGGTCCTGAGTTCAATTCCCAGCAACCACATGGTGGCTCACAACCATCTGTAATGAGATCTGGTGCCCTCTTCTGGCCAGCAAGCATACAGAGAGACAGAACACTGTATGCATAACAAATGAATAAATAAATAAATAAATCTTTAAAAAAAAAAGATAAGCAGGGGCTGGAGAGGGGGCTCAGCATTTGAGAACACTTCCTGCTTTTGCAAAGGAGCAGGTTCGATTCCCAGCCCCCACATAGTGGCTTACAACTATCCATAACTCCAGAGGATCCAAGACCCTCTTCTGACCTTTGTGGGCACCAAGCGCAGGAGTGGTACCCACACATACATGCAAACAAAGCTCTGATATATGTCAACAATTATTTTTATTTTAGATTTGTGTTTTTGAGACAAGGTTGATCTATGTAGACTTGGGTGTCTTGGAACTCACTCTGTAGACCAGGCTGGCCTTGAACTCAGAAATCTGCCAGCCTCTGCCTCCCAAGTGCTGGGATTAAAGGGGTCTGCTGCCACCACCCAGTGAAAAGATGCTTAATTTGTGGTAGCAAGATGGCTGAAAGGCACTTGGCCATGAAACCTGGCAACCTAAGTTTAATCCATGAATCCTTGTGATGGAAGGTGAGAATAGATTGCCATATGTTGCCCTATAATAAATAATAGTAATAAACTTAAAAATTAAGCTGTTTCTTTCTGAGGATAGTAGCATAGGCCTGTGTCCCACCTACTTGGGAGAGGATCTTAGGGAATCACTTGCGAGCAGGGATTTGGACCTAGGTATTGAAAGACCCTCAAGGATAGCTCAGTGGTTAAGAGCACCTGCGTTCTTTTAGAACTTCTTCCTGGGTTCGATTTCTAGCACCCCTATGCTCTTCAAAACTGTCTTTAACTCCGGTCCTGGGGGTAGGACGCCCTCTTCTGGTTTCTCTAGGTACTGGTTTTGTGGTGGACACACATACGTGAAACAAAACACTCACTATACACATAAACATAACTTAAATGTGAAAAGGTGTGGGGGCTGCTAGAAATGTCATCAGTAGTGGAGTAGGGGAGGCCCTGAGTTCAGTCCTCAGTTCTACGGCAAACAGAATCTTCTAGCAGTTCAGCATTCTCAGTGGCTGGAAAGGAAGTTAGAGGAAATTAATTCACCGGAAGTGTAACTAGGTGCCTACCATATAGCATATTTGGTACGTTATTTCTCTAGCATTTCCAGCAAAACAGACTGGCTCCGGTGTGAACTGTCTTCTAGCAGGTTAGGGTTGCAAAGGGAGCACAGACAGTCTCCAGGCTGTTAGGACGCCAGTGGGGACACGGAAATGCTGATTTGCTATCTGATTCCCTGGTGTCTCAGAAGATGTTGCTAGCCAGCACTCCCTCCCATACTCTGGGGGAAAAGGGCCCTTAGGAAGCTTTTGTTCAAACTCTCTGGGGGCCTCCTACAGTAAATACCTACACACGCGGACACAGATACACACATGAACACAATTCTAAATGATTATTAAATCCTAAAATCTAGACTAGATGTACACACCGTTAATGCCAGCACTTGGGAGGCAGGAACAGACAGGTGCAGGTGGATCTCTGTGAGGCTTTGAGATAAGGTAGACCATTTAGCGGCCCTGGTGACACACACCTGCAGTCCCAGCTGGCTTCTGAGAAGAAGACAGGATTGCAATACAGAGCCTGCCAGACTCTTCCTTCCAGGGGAGGGAGGGGAAGAGATCGGATCTTTGGGAAATACCGACAGGTAAAATCAGTGGAATAAAATCCGGGCAGTCTCATTGTAACTTGTTTGTTTTCAAGGTTAGTATCACTGTCAACATCTCCAAAGGTAGGTTTGCTTCATTTTCCATTCCGTTGAAGTTGGGGTTGATGGAGGCACAAGTCTTGCTTTGAGCGTCACCACAGCCCTGCAGCTGCCTCTCAGCAGCTCCTGATGGGGGTTCTGAAACCTTGAAATCAAACTCACACCCCACTAGACACTTCTCCCACCCATCCCACAGCTTCTCCTGCTCTTCCCAAAGCTTCCCAGCTGGAAACTTGCATATTATCCTTGCTACCTGCTCCTTGAAGTTCCTCCTCCCCAATCAATGACAAATGTCAGTTGCATAATTAGCTGTTGAGTTCATGTCATCTCCTAAATGCCCTGGAACTTCCTTTGTAGACCAGACTGGTCTCGAACTCACAGAGATCTGCATGCCTCTGTCGCCCGAATGCTGGGATTAAAGTCATAACACCACCATGCCTGGCTATCGACCCTTTGTCTACTGCCACTGATAAGCATATGATTTGGGCAATTTTAACTTCTCTTTTTTTTTGAGTTTCCCAACCACAAATAAAAAGTTATGCCTAGTCTATTTACCTCATCAAGTTGTAGGGATTAAATGATGTACTGGGATTCAGGCTATTAGCAGTTACTCAGACTGTCACCAGGACATTTTACTTAACAAAACAACCGCATAATGCGTTTCCTTAATCTCTGTCCCTTCTCCTTTTCTATACAGCTCTAATGATCTTTTTGAAAGGCACACTTTGGGGTAAACCTTCCCAAGGTCCCAAATTTGATCTCCAGCACTGAAGGCACCAAAGGGGTAGTGGGGTTGGAGAGATGGCTCAGTAGTAAAGAGTGCTTACTGAGCCAGGTGGTGGTTGCAGTAGAAGCTGCTGCATGGAGCGCGCCTTTCATCCCAGCAGTGGGGAGGCAGAGGCAGGTGGATCTTCTGTGATCTATGGAGCGAGTTACAGGACAGCCAGGACTACACAAAAAAAAACACTGTCTCAAAAAACCAAAACCAGAGCTGGGTGGTGGTGGTACATGCCCTTAATCCCAGCATTCGGGAGGCAGAGGCAGGCAGATCTCCGTGAGTTCAAAGCCAAGCAGGTCTACAAAACAAGAAAAGAAGAAAAGAAGAGGAAGAAGAAGAGGAAGAGGAGAAGGAGGAGGAAGAAGAGGAGGAGGAGGAGGAAGAGGAGGAGGAGAAGAAGAAGAAGAAGAAGAAGAAGAAGAAGAAGAAGAAGAAGAAG